TGGCCCCGGTCTAGCCGCACCACTCAGAGTTCTGGTGTCTCTATGGTGTGGAAGCAGGCGCAGTACTGATATGGACAGCACCAGAGGGTGAAGATGACCAAATCCATCTGTGTGCCCGTAAATAACCACTATTTATCCTGAAGTGTCTGGCATCGGAAGGAAAACTCCCTGTGTAGAAAGGTAGGAAAGAAGGAAAAGAAAGAAAGAAAGAAAAAAAAGAAAGACAGGAAATAAAAGGGAAAGGAAAAAAAACCCTTCCTGGCCTTCCTGGGCTGAGTGAAGAGCCCAGGTCCTTTGCAGGGGAAGAAGCTGCCAGGCCCAGTGCTCAGCCAACCCGGTCCTACTGAGACTCGTGCTAGGGCTTGGTTTCTAATAGCAAGAGAGCCTTTAAACAAAGCGGGCACTAATGTAGTTTCTCTCTTTTTTTTCTTTAAAGACAATCTAGCTTAGGGACAGTACCATACAAGACAAGGAGGACAGGGACCTGCCTCTGCTTTGCCTTGCCTCCTTTGAAGGTAATCTCAGAAGGCTTAATTCTCTCCACTGTGGAGGCCAGACAGTGCTTCCGAACCCTCTAGCTGTAAAGGAACGCATTATTGAGATCAAACATTGATCTTAAAGATCCTTAGCAGACACAATATTGTGACACAATATGCAAGATGCTAGGGAATTAAGGAATTAAAATCTTCAAGGAACTACAATCTGTCCACCATTTGCCTCTGCTTAAGGACCCAGGGCTCACTGGACCTGTAAATTCAGTAAAGTCATGCTTCCTTTTTGGAACTCATTTCAAAGAGAAAATCTGAACTATTTGCATCCACAGACTGTATTTAGTGGATATGGTGACTTTGGGCACTAGCAGGTCCTACCTAGAACTGAAGAACAGATGCAGAGTTTACTGTAGGACTAAGGGAAAGTTATTTTAATGTGTGCAAGTGCCCTAAGCATCCAGGTTACAAGCAACGCATTGAATAATCATTAGTCATTAGAATAATCGCAATATCTAGAGGTTGCTTCACGGGTTCCAAATCCACACCATCTTCCAGAGGCAGGAGGCCAAGATTTCCCCCAAACTGCCAGCAGCCTGTGGCTTTCCTATGTCCAGACAATGGGTCCAAGTCCCCCAACCGGATGCTATAGCTAGTCACAACAACCGGGCTTTCAGTAAGGTCAAGTAATATTTCTAATTCTATTTTTTCACATCTTCAAAATAGTATTATATTAACTACTGATGCTTTGCAACTAAACACAGCAATGCATTTTCTGTACAAATACTACTTAAAAATCATCCACTTTAAATGACCGGGTACTATGACACAAGCTAACTTACCTAAGACTAGGAACTTCTATTGTAAATCCTCTTACAACAGAGGCAAAAAATTCCTTTATGCAGCAGGTGAAAAAGAAAAATCACCTGTATGTTCTCTAACTTCACTCGACGCACTGGTCAGATTTTACTCCATACATAATGGCACTCTTGAAATAGGAACTAATGAAATGATAACTAGCCCACTTCCTGGTTGCTAGATTATCTCACGTTCAGCCAGCTGAGGAAGCCTGCATCTAACTGCACGCTCTTCCTCCTCCCACCGAGCTTCCGCTTCCGCCATCCTCCCTGGCTGACTTCATCTTTAATTGTCCTTCTGAGAGTCTGTCACAGGCTCTCTGGGCTCTACGTTGGGGAAGAGCCATCATGACAAATGGTGACTACGAGTCTCCTGAAAGGTCAAGTCATCCCTTTTTCCCGAAAGGTAAATCCATTTCCCAAACTGATTTCTAAAATACCAGCCTAAATTTCACCAACAGAGCCATCAGCAGGGGAAGAAAGCGAAAACAAAACCAACAGCACAAGTTTGCTGCAGGGAGCTATTAAACAAGGAAAGCACAAGCAGGCTGAAAATCAGATTGCTCAGTCAAAACATGGAAGCGTGTCGCACACGGGCACATGCGTTCTTATATTCGAGTCTGTACTTCTAAAAAGGCACAACAGGCCCATCGATTGCAAAGGGGAACAGAAGGAAGATTTAACACAGAAATCTCGCTTTGCTTTCTTTTTTAGAAAGAATCCTGTAAATATGGAAAGCAAAATCCACAGCCAACAGGCATGGCAGGGCTGCAAAGACAGGCCTTTGCAGAGGGCCCTAGGTAAGCGCTACACAGAATCTCCAACGTATCTTCTTTCTTATTTTTAATTAACAAGGAGGTGTCAGGGCCTGAGGAAGCTATCTGTATGCTGCTGGCTGAAACGCAGATTTGCTCCTCTCGTGCTGGTTAGCTAACATTGATTTTCTGCCCCAGTGGAAGAGAGTTTCCTCTGATGCATGCCATTTAAATTCATTTTACACAGCTGCTTAATGTGGCTTGGCAAGGCACCGCCAAACTCGCTTGGTGGGTCTAAACAGCACTCCTGAGCTGGTAAAGGACAGGACTCGTGGCTCAGCAGCCGATGATAAACGCTTCCTGTTGCTCACTGTCTTCCTATGACTCATGAGTGACCTTGAGGTGGCAGGGGAGGTGCAGGAGAGGAAAGGCCAGTGCCCCAGGAATGCCCCCTCTCTCTCCGCTGTCGTGCATGTTCAGGGTTATGTTTATGGAATCTGGTATTTGTTGGCCCCTTTTTACGACCATGTTTACAGAATTTCTCAATTACAAAATGATCATTTGTTCCTGCTGACTAAATAAATGTATAATGAATCCAAACTATTAAAAGCTGTCTGTGCTACGCATGCATAACGGAGTGAAAACACAGTTCTGGAAACTTTGCTGTTGAACGAGGTGAACTGACAGCGCCTGTTCTGCATTACCCAGAGGTATGTCTGACCCGGAACCACCTGCTAGGCACAGTAACGTAACAACGCAACATTCAATAACAACACCAAATTCATTAACCCAAACATGGCTACCGTGCCTGATGTTATATTGCTTTTGTGGCAGGACAGAGGTACCTTTTGTTGCTGTATGTAATTCCTGTATTGACGATAATATGATTACACCTGTTGAGGTAGAATGCCTGTCTTGGATCTTTTTCGTTCCCCTGTGGCTTCACCAGTTGAATCCTCTTGGAGGAAATGGTAGCCTGCTTTGGCACAAGCTCAGTGGTGTTATGAAATCTCTCCTACGCCCCAAGGGTGGCTGTCATGGTAGCTGAATTGTTTTTTTTTTTAAAGGGTCCTTCTGAGGCATGAAGGAAAGCAGCCACGTCAAAAGTCATGCAGATAAATCCCACAGGACAGGATGCAGGTTCCTACCAAAGTGCCACAGGATGGTGTGGAACAAACACAAGACACATTGGGAGGGACAGGACGACCCCTGGGATGGTTTCCTCTGAGGTCTTTCATGGTCTTAATTTGGGGTTCCTTCCGTAGCCAGAGGTCATGCTGGCTTACAGTTTTAAAAAGAAACACCCAGGCCCCGCAGGGAGCCCCGGGGTGTTTGCAACCTACCGGCCCTTGTCAGCCTGGTGCATCACAGAAGCCTGGGAGCTGCCGAAGTTGGGGTGCTAGCCTCTCTGAGTTGGTTCTGAAGTGCAAGGTTGAACCCCTGACTGCACACACTGCCACACGTAGGTGTGTATGTGTGTGTGTGTGTGGGGGGGGTCACCATGGGGGAAAAGATGCAGAATAATCTAGACCAGGCAGCTGACTGAGGGAAGGGAAGGCTCAAACACCATTAAAACAAAGGTGGGAGATGCAGCAGATGAGAGAGAGGTGCGATCCTTAGATGTGGTATTAGTTTATAAACTTGAAGGATAGCTTTGGCCTGGGAAAAATAAAAAAATAAAATAAACTACCCCCACTTAAACTCATGAAGAGCCAAGCTAAGTAGTATCTGAAGGTAAGGCTTGAAGTGGGCGGCTGATTTGAAACCAAGTAAAATCATGGATGTGTGTTATACACCAACTTCTGCAAGATGACAAATTGATTCAGGAGACTTTTACCACACAGAATTCCACCCTAATGAAATCTCTGCGGTGAGCTTCCTCTCAGCTCGCCAGCAGAGGCCTCAACTTCCTACTGTACAGAGGGAAAGAACTCCGGTGTTATGAGTTTCAACAGTGAACAATTCATTCAAACCTACACGAGAACTTCAACTGGACCAGCAGATCCAATGTCACAGAGAAGTTTAGTTTATTCCCCCCTCCACCTCCCACGCCCCCCCCCCTCCCCACCACCCCCCCCCCCCCCCGCCAGTGGCCTGGAGACCATGCTCCCTTCAGGAAGGAGATTTCAGCGGGACAGAGAGAAGCAGTGGTGACCTTCCATGTTAAGTTATCAAGGGAAATTTTATCATTATTTGCTGCAAACAACAAGTCTGAGGGGTCTCCACCTTCCCCAAATAGTAGCTTCAATGGAGAATGGACAAAGGGACACATTAAACCCTCCTCCCACCCCTCCCCAACCCAGGCACACACTGGTCTTAATTTCCCTCGGACAAAAGTCACAACCTTCTTTTTGAAGATACCACGGAACTACCTATCTTCTGATGTGCTTAAAGAAATATTTACATCTTCTTCTTTTAAATGTACACTTGCTACTATTTTTACTTTAACAATCACATTTTGGTTTAGACAAAGATACGGCCAGAAAACAGAAAAACATAAAATGCCACACACATATACATTTAGAACAATGTACGATACACACACACACATCACATTTCAAGACTCTTATGGTGGGATTAAAAACTGGGAATCTTTTTAGTGTTTTAGGTTTTAAGTGAACAGCAGCCACGTTCCTGGGAGAGGGTCTGGCTTGCTAGGGGCGGGGCTGAGCACAGATGGGTCACACTTCCTCTGAGGGCTGATGTGCCCTCAGTGGATCCTACAACAGGACCTGTTACTTTCCCGACCTTCGGTTCTAGCATATACATTCAACGGGAAAAGGCCAGCCAAGCGGAAGCCCGTCCTGCTCTCGGGTTGTCCGGGGAAGCTGGTGAGCCTGCGCTTGCTACGTGGTCCCACATCAACACCCAACACCTCGGCGCACTGGCCTCGCGCATACCTGCTTTGTGCCGAGTTTGCCGCAGCCTGCATCACGGCTGCAGCCGCCTCCTGGGCCTTACGGTTCACCGTGGGCATCGGCGGCCCCATTCCTGGCCCTCCCTGCTGAGACATGCCCGGAGAACTGGGGGTCACGCTGCTCATGTTTCCAGGAAATGGTCTGCTCTGCATCGCAGCTGACGGCATGCGTCCCAGGGGCATAGCACCACATGGCTGGTTTGGCCCTTGTCCATGCATCTGGTTGTTGGCACTGATACCCATACCGGGCCCTGGGCCGCTGTAGCTTGCACTGGGCACCCCAGTATACGTTGGGGGTCTGGAGTAGTTACCTAAACAAAAAGCAAACACAAATTAAAGCCTTTTTTTCAATCTTTACACTTGCAAAAACATTCCCTGGGAAAACGTTCTGTGTAGTAACATGCTGGCCACGGTAATGATCATCATCCCTATTTGCCCTTCCTGTCGGTGCCCATGGGGCTGCCAGGCCCCCAACATGCTACCTCTGCATGTCCCCAAGACGCCTACTGAGTAAGCTTAATGACAGAGGCCCCGCTGGAGCCCTGCAACACTGAGGCAAAATTCAGGCCACTTTAAGACTGGGTCCACTTCAATGTGACCAACACTTAACATTCTTACAGGTTAGCTAAAATCATTTTTTCAACTCTGACTTTGAGTGAGAGCCATCAAGACTGCCCTACCATGCCACTTGAACTGAGGACAGATATTGTAGGGTCAACATTAGCCTATGCTCTCCGTGAAGGGGTCATGTGGACTACAGTTGGCCTCACCTGGTTTGTTCTATAATGTGGGTCCAACCCTTGTACTCTCTTGCTTGAGTACCAGGGTGGCGGTTTTCTGTTTGGTGTCACGCTTCATGATTCCCAGTGCTAGTGTAACACTGTGCAAAGGGGAGGCAGGCAGAGTTGGAGGCTGGGAGGAGGAGCCAGGAGCCACTGCTGCACCTCCCCCTCCCTAGCCTGGGCTGCCCACTCAGGACTGAGGGGCATTGGCAAGGCCTCCAGCTGTGCCCAGATGAATTTGTTCATTTTTCCCAGCAGCTAAATGAGCCATAGGCACCACCATTGACAAGGAGGTAAACTGAGAGCCAATAGGCTAGAAGTGATGCTCAAGCAAACTGATTTTGAACCCAAGCACTTAACCAATAAAAGATGAAGTAAAATACACGTAAGATTAGCGCTTCTTAATCAGCCCTACCTACTTTGTGGAAGACCTTCACTCATCTGACCAGCACCCACTCATCCTATGCCGAGCAGGTCTAGGCACAGGGACACGGCTAAATGCACTTTCCCCGGGTATTGGAGAGCCCACAGTGGCCCTGTGTGTGCATAAACACGCATGTGTGTGCTGGGGGGGCCCTCTACAGTGGGGTGCAGTACACGTTTCTCTGATGAAGGGGTCAGGCCCTGTGCTGGCCGGGCCTCAGGAGGGAGGAGCGCCGTCCCGCCAGCCGTGTCCCCTTAGGAAACTTGCCCTCGTCCCTTCCTCTCTGTACAACAGTCCTGTGGCGCGCACTTCCTCAGGCCTGAAGGACACTCCTGTGTAAAGCGCTTGCATGTAATCGGTGGCGGGGATTTGATTCGCTGCTGGGTGATGAGCAGGGCAGAGCAGAAGTGAGGCTCTGGGCCCAGGCGGCAAGACAGCATTTGAGGCATCCACTCGGGGCAGGAGGCGGGCAGGGGAGTCAAGCCAAAGTGGTCAGACCGACAGGTCCTTGAGGACCAGGCTTCTAAGTGTGGGGCTCACCAAGAAGGGAAGAAGGGCTTCCAGTAGAATCAGTGATGGAATAACAACCATAAAAAGAAGCAAAAACCTCAGCGGTACTGTCGTAGCCCTAAGTCCCTTCTAACTTACTGCCTCTTGACACGAAGCCCAGACTACACGAAGCCCTCGTGTTGGAGATGAGGGCCTGAGGCTCAGGGACGTTTAGGAAACTGTCCCAAATGGCTGGACACTGGGTCCTGGTGCGGGAGGCTGCACGCGCAGCAGCAGTGGAGCTCGCTGCTCGCAGTGGAGCACGCCGCTGCGCTCCCGCACGTGGTCTCTTCAGCGCTTAAGGAGTTGCATGCTTAATCGACAATGCTATGGTGACTGTAAAAACAGTTTGTCCTGGAGAGGTGTCACTATGCATCTGCAAGACATTCAACACCTTCCTACTCGCGGGGCGCTTGCTCTGCTGGGCGCATCACGTGAGCTTTCTGTGATATGCACCCCATTGTTTACGTTGAGTTCAGGCGCACAGTAGGGTGGCACTTTTCCTGCTGAGGACCAGAGAGGAAATACTTTAGGCCTTGTGGGGTCTACCCTACTATAGCCCCAAAGGAGCCACAGCCACCGGCGGGAGGGCTTCAACAGAAGTGTGTTTGCATGCACAGGCGATGTGTTAAGGTAGGCCAGAATTGTGGCCCCTGATATAGAACAATCCTGGGACACGCTAACGAAGGACTTCACTAGCAACAGAAAGGGCGCCTGACGCAAGTCAGCAGCATCTTGGATCCAAACGTAACGTGGAAGGCTTGGGATTCTCGGTAAAGCAGTGGCAGACCTGAGGTGCGGAGCGAGACAGAAAGGCGCCAGGCAGGGGAGAGGGGTGGAGAGGAGCCTTGCCGAGGTGCTGGGTGCTTCAGGTCACATGATCAGGCCGGCGGGCAGCTTCAAGAGCTCGTGCAGATTGTGCGGAAACAACCAAACTCAAGTAAAAGGAGCAAAACAGCACAGCTGCTCCTCAGTTGCCAAGTTCCTAGAGAAGGCCTGAAATTCTCCATCCCTGCTGGCTGCTAGCCACGTTCTCTGGGTGGGAAGGGGTCTGCTACAGCCCTGGGTGGCGGTGGGGTGGATGGGGAGCTGGGCGGGAGGACCACCTCTCTCGGCACCCATGAAATAAAGCGCTCCGCATTGGCTCTTGCTTTTCTTGAAATAAATATACTCATTCATGGTTTGAATGAGTGATTAATTCGCCAATTCATGCTAGCACTTGAGGGCTAACTTTCCATCCTTCCCTGCCGTTCCACAGGTGACTTGGGTAAAAGCCTTCTTTCCATCAGTGAAACCATATGGACAGGAATAAAATGGCATGGTAGCATGGCTTTCTTGGGGAGAGAAGGCGTCAGGCCTTGCAGAGATCTGCTTGTGGCTGGGATGGAAGCAATGATGTTGCTTAACTCTCACACCTCGGGTCATGGCTGGATCTTCATGACAATGACCAAACCTCTGGCCTGCAGCCCCCTGCAGCTTCTCATTCCTTTAGGGATAAGCAGCCAGTGCTGGGCGTCAGTGGCTGGGCTCCCTGCAGGGAGGAAGCGAGCTGGCTACAGGGGCAGGCATGGAGATACCATGTGGGAACATGGCGTGGGTCTGCCGGCTTGCGCTTGCAAGGACAGTCAGCCCGAGGCTCCGAGTCTATTTTTCTTCAATCGCTTTGGGGTTGCTTGATATCACATGCCCAGGATAAAGTGTTCAATTACAGAGGGAAAAGTAATGCAGGGCTCTCTTCTTTTCCTTGAAACTTCAAATTCACGTGTTTGGATGAAAACAAATGGCGGCATGGCCATTGTGGGGTGCTGTCACTGGGCAGCAGCAAGGCTCGCATGGGGAGCAGGGAGGGAGACCAGCGGGTGCCGGGGCACTGCCCTGAGTAACGGCTGCAGCCCCCAGCGCCAAGCAGTGCAGCCGTGTTCAACCTTCCCCACTGCTCTTCAAAGATGTGACAAGGAGAAGCCAGTGTAGCAGCCAGTGTAGCTCCCTCCCAACACGAGGAGAAACCGAATATGTACACCAGGCAAAACAGGAGAGGAAGCTGGAGTGAGAAGTGCGATCTTCTTCCCATGTTTCTCTAATAGATTAGTAATTTGTTGGCACTAGCTCTGACAGAAAGCAGATGGAAGCAGCATTAGGCACAATGAAGGCAGATGTGGGGCCGGCCCACCTCAGCTGGACTGGTCCTGTGGCCAAGTCTGAGAGCCCACCAATTTCAAATGGGTTCATTTTGGCATGCCAGCTTTGGAAAATTGGTCACAAATGAATTCAGATTCCAACCTTTGAGGAGTTATAATCAAGCACCAGATAGAGGAAGCAGGGCCGGGCTATGCAAGTCACTACCATTATTCTAGCACGATCACAAATAATTTTACATTTGATTATATAACACGTAAATTTGGTAGTTGTGATCAATACTCCGGGGTTCACTCAGTTTTAGGACTGTGATGATTCAAGTTCCTCATTCTAGTTGGCACACTTTATACGAGACTGTCTACTCTGGGTGGAAAACATACCCCTAAATAGTTGCACACTATGATAAATGTGCTTATGAGTCAAGGCTAAACGTGGATTTACCTTTCTTTCCCTTCAACGCTGGGGATCAGACTCAGGGTTTCCCCATGTGCTAGGCTAGGGCTCCACCCCTGAGTTCCAACCTCAGCCCACAGATACAAGGCAGGGTCTCACTAGGTAGCCCAGTCTGACTGCCAAAGTTGGGCTTCTCCTACCTCTACCTTGTTGTGAGTGCTATCATTACAGGAGTGCGCTACTATACCTGGCCACATTTAGCCTCTTGTTTAGCTCACCATGTTCAGTATTTTTTATTGCAGTCCATAAGGGATGAAGTCATACTACTGAGATACATGTTACAAACAATAACAAGCAGACACAAGCCTGTAGCCTGTGGCACAATTAAGATAGAGAATACTCTATCACCGCCTTTGGTAGGAGTATCGGTCCACATCCACCCCACCCAAAGCTGCACACACAGTCAGCCTTTGGTGTCTGGCTTCTTTCAGTTAGCATCAGTTAGTGTTTATGAATTCCACACACTGTGAGCTCATCCAGCTGCATCAGCACCTTCCCTCGTATTGACCTAGAGCATCCACTCTGTGAACACTTGGTAGTTTGGCACATTTGCAGCAGTTGTTCAGGTATGTGTGTGCTTCATTTCTCTTGGAGAGACTTAGAACTGAGATTGCCGGTCAGCGCGTGCATGCTTGATGAACTGCCACATGGTGGCTGGGAGATTCTACACATTCACACCAAACAGTGTGAACTCTTGATACCACAGCCAGTACCTAACGATTCCAACTGGCAAAGAAGTTTTAAAAAAGTAATCCTAATGGGTATGTGGCAGAAACCACTTTGGCTCTAATTTCCATTCCCTTCATGACACAATTAGTACTTTTCATATGTTTATTTGCTGGTTACTTTTCTATGCACAATCACTATAGCCAGGGATCAAATAGTTAAGAAGACAACAAATACAGGTTCAAAAGTAAAAGCTAACTCATCCCTAGTTATATCAAATCTATTTGTGGGGAAAAAAGAG